GAAGGTTTGTTGGACAATATACTACATTATAATACAGGTAAGAATTTCACCAATACTACTAGTCTTGTTTTGTAAGATAGGAGGGGTTTTGTAAGGAAAGGGTCTGTTCTGGGAGGAGTCGTATAAGCAGAGGTCATGCTTGAGTAAAAGTCATACTAGGGAAGGGTCATATTAGGAGGGGTTGTGCTGTGGAACGGATGTTAAGACGCCACATTGGAAGATGGGATCATATTATGGGGAGGGGGGGGGGAGGTAAACTGGGAATGGTTAGACACTGAGGGGGTTATCATGGTGGGGGGAAGGGAGAAACTTATCAGGAGGGGTCATTCTGTAGCTGGAGGGGTTTATATTTCAGCAGGTTGGGTTGTATTTGGATGCTACGTTTTAGGAAGGGGTCATGATTGGATGGGTTATTTAGAAAGGTGGGTAGGTAGGTAATACTAGTTTGTAGGAGTGGTGTTTTAGGGGCTCATTCTGAAACCTTCAAATATCACTAGGGACCCTTCAGTACTATACCAGACCATTAAATACCATACAAAACCCTTAAACATGACACTGAACCCTTAAATACCATACAGAACCCTTAAACATCACACTGAACCCTTAAATACCATTCAGAACTCTTCAATATCATACTGAACCCTCAAATACCACTTGGAGGAGTGGTCGTAGGGAGTTTAACTCTCATTGACAGCATTGCAGACATTAACGGTTCTATTTGTTATAACATGTATGTCATTTTAAACCTCCCCTCTTGGTTTATGGTGGGACAATATATTTCATTTCCACAAGTTTGGGTTTAATGATAGAGGAGAAGATTTACAGCCATACTACACTTTTATCTACACCAAGATAAATTCTAGAAAGAAATTACAATTTCATCTTACAATATGAATTTGAATATAAATGAAAATATAAGCTTAATGGGTTTTTCACATTTATTTTTATTGGCTGATTTTTTTTTTTTAAGTTCAATTTTGAAGCCTGTTGTTCTCATTCATAATGCATACACTGTCCGACTGTACATTAATTTGGGTGTTACCCGACTAAATCCTGCACATGTATTAATTTACTTGTGATTCACACACAGCCAGTTATATGATTGGGTTTGACATGTACACACCCAGTGTGTGATTGGGCTCTTTATTTAGGTAACACAATATAACAAACAGCCCCTGCCAGTCCAAGATATTTACAATGAGCCAGTCAATGCTAGGTTTTTTATATACAGTATTATTCGAGATTTGAAAGCTTCTTATAGAACTCTTGAGCTGTATGGCTGTAATGACTGCGACCTGTCTGTATAGATCAGCTCTATTCAGATCTGGTATTTCTGTTGGAGTACTTTTATGATGTAACCAATGTTTCTCACTGACACTTGGATTGTTTACATTGTAAATAATATCTATAATGCCTTAGCTAGCTCATCGTGTCTATTGTTACTGCCACGTAATTCAAGTCAAAACGTCTACCAACCCTCAAGTCTACAAACTGTAACCCCCTATACTAAAACCAGCTACCTGAAGTCTTAAGACCCCTAAATAAAGCCTTCCACCTATAAACCATTTATTAGTCCCAAGTTCCAAATGTACTACTTTTCAACCCTAAATAAACCCCTGGTATGCATCTGTCCTGCTCATTAAGATTTGATTGCATTTGTCAGAATGGCATCTGCCTGGATTATCTTGAGTTTGTCTGTCAACATAGGATGATGCCATCACCTTTTCATCATTACATTAAAACCTTACCAAATTAAAGACAGGGAAAATCCAGTGAAGATATGATGCAGCAAAGATAATAAAGAAAGAGGAAAATGTCCTCAACATTACTTCCCAAATAAAAAATCCAGGTCACATTGCCAAACTCAAAATCCAACAATCAGGTCACATTGCCAAACTCAAAAACCAAAATCCAGGTCACATTGCCAAACTCAAAAACCAAAATCCAGGTAACATTGCCAAACTCAAAAACCAAAATCCAGGTCACATTGAAAAACTCAAAAACCAAAATCCAGGTCACATTGAAAAACTCAAAATCCAGAAACTGGGTCACATTGAAAAACCAAAAAACCAAACCAAGTTAATAGAAGACTTTCGATGTGTTAATTAATTGTAAACAAATCCTGAAAGAAACTCTTTTCACTAATGTGAAAAAAACCTGCATTTGATGTTGATGGCAAATGTTGTGACCGAAATCTGGTTTTTTGACTCGCGTATTTCCTGATTTTGATTTGAAGTAACCCAGTTTTGTATGACTTACCTAAGTTATAGTAGTTTAAACCCTAGACCACATAGTCGGAATTCATTCTTAATTTATGAATGAAGGCACAACTGTAATCAACTCGCGGAGATTTAATTAATAGATATCTTACCTATGCTATTGTCTAAGATAAGTGAGTTGTCATCATCCTCGGATATGACATGCTATAGGTTTACACGTGTGTAGAGTTTTAAAGTCTCGGCCAGACTTGTATTCTAGATTGGCAAAGATCAGGCTGTGAGTTAGTTACGTGTGACACGAGGTCGCTGATCAGAATCAGATACATGGCTACCCCTCAACCGCCCCCCTACCTGCAATCAAGGTCATATCAATGTTTAACTGGCAGAAGAAAAAGAAGAAAAAACCCTTCACTTTGTGTATAGAATTATCATTGCTAAGGTAACAAACCGGGTTCACCTGTACACAGGTATGGCTGGTTCATGTACAAAACAGGTTTTGAACATACCTGTGGTTACAAGAGATGTGTTTTTCCGGAAACTAATTGATACGAGTTAAAATTGGCGTGATTGTGTAGGTATTGAGCGATCAGTCGCGCTTCACTGATTTCACTGACCTTATACAACACAATCACGCCTATCTGACTGTGTCTCATTACAATTTGTCTTCTGTACAATTTTTTTTACTGAATGGGTTGTAAGTATGCCGCACTGTACATAGGGATCAGCACTTGTGTGTCACTGAGCAGACGGGCATTAACCAAGCCACAACAGGAGAGTTTGAGCAAAGTGTCAGGTGGTCGCATATACAGGGGGCATATAGATATGTTACTATAGAACTTCAAATACCGAACAAACATTTTGTAAAAACATTGGAATAACTCTGCACCAAATGTGAGTATTAATTGGAACTCGGACTAATGAGTTTGATTGTGTATCTGTTCTCACCTGTACTGTCGTATACTAGTCACCTTCGGAGTTTAATCGAGACCTTTCACTTTTTTACCTGTGACACACATCGGTGGGATATAACGATATACATGTACTTAGTTCAGACCTAGATTTGTTTATATGTACATTATTGTATATGATTGATGGTCTATTTCATTCATTAAGGTAAGTCACGTCACTATGGCACTTTTCACCTGTGGATTTATTCCCGTATTTGACAAAAGGTCATGATCTCTGTACCTGGCTGTGACTTGAATGGACTTTTTACACACAGATGATCGTATAATATAAATTTGTCCGCTATATATGGAGAGACGTTTAAAATTACTGTTTAAAATTACTGATCGGCAGTCTTGTGATTTATGATTATTTTGGCTCAATATCTTCGGTGTGATCACCAATCTACCTGTAGAAATTCCTGTGACATGCCAAGGTGTCATAATTTACTCTGGGGATTGTGACAGGAAAATTTATGCTGGAACTAATAAGCTTAATTAAAAATCAAGATCACAGAATGCGTCCGAGCGTTCGGATATTAACCAGTAATTACGATGCTTTATTGGATGCGTTTGTGTATTTACGTAGAAAAATTTCAAGGAGTATATGTAAATATGGGAGGATTGTTCCAGTAATATTTTCGTGAGGAGATTGTTATAGTACATGTATTTTTGACATGAGGACATTGTTCTAATGGGGGTTTTACGGAGAGCATAGTTCTGGTACTATCAGTGTTAGAAAATTGTTGAAGTATCATTAACTCATTCACCCCTGAAATCTTATAATGAACTACTCCAACCCTTGAGTTGGAAGAGTTCAAATGTGTCTTCAGGGGTAAATGAGTTACAGTGACAGTCCTACATGAATGTCTCTATTCTAGCTCAGACATTATATGGATAGAAATGTCGGACAATAAAATTGTTGCTTCTTAACACTAAATTGCTGTACAAGTCTATATTTGGGCCATAATTTTGTGCTTATCTACCATGCAGACACAAATTACGGCCAACACAGAAATATCCATTTTCTGTTAATATATTGTCTACCTGTCTCCTATCTTGACTATAACCTAAGAATTGCAGCTGTAGGATATAAATAATTGTCTCGCTACAGGAATTATTCACATCTTTAAACCTGAATAGTGTGAAATAAGGCTGTCACCAAATCTAGCTAGCATCCCAAAGTTATTACCATTTTTGTTGGCACAATGTTTGTTTTTGGTCATGTACAATGCTACCTGTTCAAACCGGACATTGCAGAAATATTTGAATTGGATTATGTAGCAAAATTAAGTAGAGCAACACTAATTGTCAGAGTAGAGAGGTTCTGTATTATACAGGGTGGAGACCAAACACCATGACCAAATACCAAAGGCAGTACAGAGATTCATATTAGACAGAGGTCAATTTAGGAAGGGTTACTGTACCTTTATGCAATTAATGTTGGTGCAAAATTTAGCGTCCAATTTAGATAAAACTGGGGCTTCCATCGACAGATCTTGAGACCCTCCTGACGGGGGCAGCGTCAAGAAAAGAACGGATGCCCTGGTGGGGTAGTGCCACCTGGTGCATATATATATACTGTAGTAACTAGCAGTAATTCCCCCTGACTAGGCAGTTGCATGGGTCTGTTTCGATACAATTCCCCCAAACTTATATCCCTTGCTCATTTCACTGCTGTAACATAATCAAGATGTAATGCACTTTGCGATCTAAATTTCTCTAAGATTTTCACAAATTACAATTTATTCAATTGTTTTGAAGTTTGACAACTTTAGATTGATCAATTTTTATAGTAGCTCTGTTACTAATGATCCATTTGTTTTTCTCGTTACAGACATACACGCCCCGCAGCATGCCGTCCGCAAGCCCCAACACCACGAGTAGCCTGACCGCTCACCAAAAAGAACTGTTGAGCTGCAGCAACTTATACCTCCGGCACCTTAGCCCAAACACAACAGACGAAGACCTCGTCGAACTCTGTCAGAGGTAAGGAATTACTCTTTTAACCCTTCAGACAGCTTCCTTGACATTTGTCATCAGTATGCATCATCAGTCCTCTTCTTCTGCACTAGTGTAGGAAGCTTTGCCCTGTAAAACTAGAAGAAAATCTAATGAGGTTGAACAATTTTAGAATATAGGCCCTGCATAAAGTCATCTTGAAATGCATGCTTCCTTGTTTGTATCCAGCTCCTGGTTCACAAACTAATCCTGTAAAAACCTTTTCCCTGTTTTGAAAATTTGGTCTTGGCCAGTCGCGACAGATTTAGTGTTATATTCTTTTTGATTGCCTCAAGACAAGTTCTTGGCTATTTATAAGCAATGAGTTTTGGCGAGCTTCCTTGTAGATAGTACAAGTGTACTGCTAGGAAGATGGGGTTTCAGTAACTGTAGAACAACATCCCCTATTAAATCATTGACCAACGGCCAAAATGATGCTTCGACCAATCAGAAAGCCCTTCCTTGTTCATAGGAGTGCAGTATGGGCCCCCATATGTCGACTTTCATTGTGACAGCTGTCTGCCATGAAGTTCTGGATCTCTGGTCAAAGTGTATACAGAGTCTTCCTGTAAAAGTCGAAAGGAAATTTGAATTTCTCGAATGTCTGTCATTACGAAAACATTACCAACAGTTGGCGATGTGAGTGGACGTAACACGAGTGACGGAATTGATTTTCTACATCAGTTGTGTCGGTAATTTAACAGCCGAGGCTCGCTCGAACAACATGTAACATTGTTTTGGGACTGTCGGGAGACACGTTTTAACCCACACGTTGCAACGATTTGTCTCGGAGAACAGGAAAAGCGGTATATCATGTTTCATTTAAGGTACTACGGTGTCAAACACTGACGAAAAAAGAAAGCAAAAGGGAAAACAATAAAAGGCTTCAGTACAAATTAAAACCACAGACATGATGGTCCTAATGGATCTAAATACCTTATAAACTCTAGGCCTTGGTTAAGACATTAGTCAGAAATAGATTTAAGTGGGTGAAGTAATTATTTGTACTAAAAGTTTGTGAGGTATAGCATTGGGATTCAATTTGCTTCTGGGTGATAAAGATAGTCTAAAGTGATTGAACAGGAAAGCACACCCCAAAACAATTGACAAATTTTGATGTCAGATTTCTTTGCTGCTGGCAAAAAACTTGTATGTGACTCTGAAAGTGCAACAAGCATATTTTGTATTTAATCATCCTCATGCAGACTCAGGCTTCTAATTCACAAAATGACATTTACCTTTGAATGTAGGTCAGTGGTTTTTGTGTAGAAAGTAATTATTTATTTGTAATTTAAACAAATTTGTTGTGGGGCATTAATGATAAATCTAAATAATTGTATATTGCATTTTAAGCAGATTTTTGTGATGGGGGGGGGGGGGGGGGGGGGGGT